TACCCCATAGCTATGTTTTAAGAACCTCGGAAATCTAGAGAGCATGCACGCTCTAGTGTTGCATTGAGTTTATATCAGTATTGAATGGATTTAGCTGAGTTTCTCTTTACGTTTAGTCGAGACACTGCCTAATCTTTAGCTGTAACCTTGAGGTAATGCAAGGCTGTGCTCTCTAATCTTGGATGGTGACAATCTATGGAAATAATAGAAAGGGGAAATCTGGAGAGGTAAACTTTTGAGTTCTATAGAAACTCCAGGAGATTTTGGTCGTTGTTTCTGCTGAAACTTGAAAGTGAAACTAAACATATTTTAGCTATGCATATTTGCTGATTTCCTAGTTTTTTTCTTGGTTCTATTGTAGATTTTCCTATGTGGAATTATATTATTTGTTATTGTTTCAGATGCGGTGGTTAAGATTTCCCTATAGAACTGTAGCTTTGATTGTTCTATGTTATCTTGTTGGATGAATATCGTTGGAAATGTAAAGAGTACATTGCTTTGCTAGTAATTATGCATCTTAAAGAGGAATGTTATTACGGAGTGATCTATATTTTGAATGGTTGTTAAACATTTTAGGTAAAAGTACTCTTGAACAATGTAAAAATGATATTTTTAGTCATTGACATTTCAAATGTTACAAATGGTCATTAAACTTTCTAAACGGTTTCAAAATGATCTTGAAGACACTAAATTTTATCTGTTGTAAATGATGTTGTTATATTATATGATAGTTATTAACTATATTATATAATATGCATACTTATGTATTTTTATGTTTGTATACAGGCCCATCACAAACAAAACCAACATCACGTGTAACCCAAGACCCGTTCTAAAAATCAGGGTTTCGATCGAAATATTACCTTAAAATTTAAACTTACCCTTTTCGTTAAAAAGACAACTGGAAATTATCTTAGCCTGACTCACTTACCTGTGTCCCCAGCAGAGTCGCCAAGCTGTAGCAACCGTCTTTCGGTTGGGCCCGAAATCGGGCTTCGACTTGAATTAAATGAATTGGAGTCGCCACCGACCATTTATTTTAAAAAATGGGTTGATCGGATACCTTATTTCTTACCTGATATGCGTCTTACCAAAGATGTGTCGGATTCGGGAGTCGGTTACAACCAAGGAATGGTTAGTACCCTTGAATTGCCCTTTCGGTACTGTGTAATTTCCAGTTGTCTTTAAATTAAGAAAATTGAAAGTTAAATTAAAAGGTAAAATAACGATCCGAATTGCTTACTTTTGAGAAAATTGAAAATGTCTTTAAATAGCCGAGAAATGTATTAGATACAAAAATGTAATAGAAAGAAGTAAAATAGAAACAAATGAAATAAAAAGGTAAAGACATAATAAAATAAACAGAATAATGGACTCCAGACAAAGCAAGTTCAACTTCACGACGAAGGGACTGCTGGTTGTCAATAAACAACTTCCCAAATTCAGAGTCAATTTCAACTTCACAACGAAGGATATTGGATTCCAGACAACGCAAGTTCAACTTCACGACGAAGGGACCGCTGGTTGTCAATAAACATTTCCCAATTTCAGAGCCAATTTCAACTTCACAACGAAGGATATTGGATTCCAGACAACGCAAGTTCAACTTCACGACGAAGGGACCGCTGGTTGTCAACAAACATCTCTCAATTTCAGAATCAATTTCAACTTCACAATGAAGGATATTGGACTACAGACAACGCAAGTTCAACTTCACGACGAAGGGACCGCTGGTTGTCAACAAATATTTTTGAATTTCAGAGTCAATTTCAACTTCACAACGAAGGATATTGGACTCCAGACAACACAAGTTCAACTTCACAACGAAGGAACGGCTGGCTGTCAACAAACAATTTCCCAGTTCCAGAACCAATTTCAACTTCACGGCGAAGGATATTGGACTCGGAACAATAATACTCACTTGGATTTCAACTTCACGACGAAGGATATCCAGTTCCCAGACTTAACTTCACAACGAAATGGCCATACCCAACTTCACAACGAAGTATCTTTGGCTAGAAGACAATCCATGAAATACTTCCAGTACTCTGAGCTCGATTTCAACTTCATAACGAAGGATTCAGACTCAGAATTTTCTAGTTTTGACTCAACCTCACGACGAGGGGGTCATTTCGTATTGACAAATCAGTTTCCGTATCGGATTTCAACTCTTCGACAGAGGATATTCGATATGGCCGAAATTTGTGTCTTTTAATCTTTGCTCTATTGTCGTTACACGATAATGAGCAAAGAGGGGCAGCTGAAGACACTAAATTTTATCTGTTGTAAATGATGTTGTTATATTATATGATAGTTACTAACTATATTATATAATATGCATACTTATGTATTTTTTATGTTTGTATACAGGCCCATCACAAACAAAACCAACATCACGTGTAACCCAAGACCCGTTCTAAAAATCAGGGTTTCTAGAAAACCCTAGCACGCCGTCGCTTCTTGCATCTCATCCAGAAGCCCCGAAGTTCCCTGGTTCATCACGTCTTCCTCAGTCGCACTTCACGGATCCAACGTCCCCGTCAACACCACCAACGACGCAAGAATCTCGCAAGGTTCATCCACAACCAACAAATGTTAGAGTCCTATTAGGACTCAAATGTAATCTAAAAATAGGTTTTTTTTTACTATAAATAAGTGTAATCAAACCCGTTTTCGGGGGGGTGATTTTACTACGAACACACACATAAAGTTACCATAGCAAGCACAAAGAAAGTCGGAACACTTGTACAACATTTCGAAACAAGAAATAAAAGCAAGGTATATTGTTGTTTACCTTTTCGTTCGCTTGATCCTTTGCATGTCAAGTTTTTTGTCCATCGTGTTGTTTTGAGTCGAAAGTAAGCAAATAGAGAAGATTTTTGCCGATGAAAAGGCGTTTTCGTTCGAGATTATTTTTGTAGATCTACGAAAACCCGAGATTTTTTTTGAAAAATCAACTTGATTTTCAAAACGAGGAGGAGAAAAGCTCCTGGAAAATAAAAAAATTTCGTGATTCCGTCGCCGTTCAACGGCGGCGGCGAGGCGACTTGCGGCGGCTGATGGCCTGTTTCTGGAAACTCACGGCCCCTGTTCTTGGAGACCCAGGAACATTACAGAGAAAATGGGAAAAGGAGATGGCTCTGATTTTTTGAAATGGATCGAATGAAGTTTTTTAATTTTTTTTAGCATATGTATCAGACCCGCGTGTTTTTAATAAAATGGGGTAAACTACCCTTTTGGTCCCTCGTAGCTTTTAAAGATTTATTTGACCCCTGAATTGAATTTACGCCTTAATATTTCTTTGAAACTCGAACTCCAGTTTATGGTTCTTTTAATTTAGTCCCTACGCAGTTTAATTAATTCATTTTTATATTTTTTTCCTCACTTTTATATTATATTTTACTATATATACATATTTTTTATGTATATGTTAATATTTTTTTCCTTTCTGTTTTTTTATTTATTACTACTTTTTTAATATTTTATTCTATTATCTATATATATATATATATATATATTTCGTTCCTTGCTATTTTATATATATATTCATAATACTTAATGCTTCATCATTTTTATGTACATATTTATTTATATATATCACTTTTTTATATCATCATTTCATATATATATATTATTTACTATTAGTTTCTCATACTTTATTTATTTATTTCATTTTTCTTGTTTTTTTTTGTATTTTATTTATTTTATTTACTTATTTTCTTTATTACGCTTTATTCATTGTTATTCTGTTTATTTTATTGTTTCTTTACCTTTTTATTTCATTTGTTTCTATTTTACTTATTTCTATTACATTTTTGTATCTAATACATTTCTCGGCTATTTAAAGACATTTTTAATTTTCTCAAAGGTAAGCAATTCGGATCGTTGTTTTACCTTTTAATTTAACTTTCAATTTTCTTAATTTAAAGACAACTGGAAATTACACAGTACCGAAAGGGCAATTCAAGGATACTAACCCTTCCTTGGTTGTAACCGACTCCCGAATCCGACACATCTTTGGTAAGACGCAGATCAGGTAAGAAATAAGGTATCCGATCAACCCATTTTTTAAAATAAATAGTCGGTGGCGACTTCAATTCATTTAATTCAAGTCGAAGCCCGATTCCGGGCCCAACCGAAAGACGGTTGGGACAGATCTCTTGCAACATTAAAATAGCAATAAATTTCGAGGACCATTTGGTAATAGTTTGATAAGTATAAAGTCTATTTTGTAACATTTGTAAGGTCACTGACCAAAATGATCAATTTTACATAGTTCAACGACTTCTGTTACAGAATCAGACTTATTTTTTCTTTTAAATGTATAGTTTTTCAGGAGGTTCCATGCTGCATATGTCGATGCCGTCTCGAACCCATTTCACGTTCCTGGTAAAAAGATTACATCAAGAACTTTTGCAGATAGAGTGAGCACCATTGTCAAGTCATTTGGGTTGAGCTCGGCTGCATGATGCTGGTTTGGGTTCAAAGCTTTTCAAAATCTTAAAACTGAACTATGACTCTATGCTGGTAATTTTGCACCCTTTTCCTGAACATACCTTGGTTTTAAAAGGTTTTGTATCATTCATAATTGTTCAATCACATTAAAAAAAGTTTGATTGACTTTATTGATGTTAATTTTGTCATGCAAATTTAATCTCTTTACATAACTTTTCGAATTAACGTTTCTCTATTGATATGTCAAATATTTTGACGTAAATTTTAGACATAATATTGTTGAAAAAAAATGAATATAATACAATTAATTGCTTATAATACAAGGCTGTAAATGATCAAATTACTACAAAAGTATATAATAAAAGCATAAAATACTATACTGTAAGAAAATAAACCTTTTAAATAATTTGACCAAAAACTGATAATAATACTATTAAAAAGAACAAAACATTGATGTCTCATAACATCAATTTAGCAAAGGTAAAACAGACTTGTACATTAATCAAACAAAGAAATATGAAATTAGTGCATCTATTTCCGAATATAGTTTTTTTTTAAGTTACCATACAAATTACTGCCTGCTGATGTATCTTTTTACTGTATATAGTTCCCAACAGAAACATAACCCTCTTGATTTCAGATAATGTCAAGATTATATACATAGCATTCAACTATCTGTTACTATCTGGAAACTTCGCCTCGTAGGTTTGTGGCATCATGTATGTAGCAGTGATCATTTATCCGGCGAACCATCTTCCATGTAGGTTCCGCTGAGCATTTATCGCACCTTGCATATCTTGGAAACGTAAGTAGAAAATCCCAGCACTGTCCCTGTTCAAGGGAGTTTTTTCACAAAAATGAGAGATGCAACGAATAAAAGGAGCAGTCGCAAAAACAGTTGTGTGCATAAACACTAGGAATTACCTGTCTACGTAAATATGCTTCAATTTTCCAAATTTTGAACATTCTTCTTTGATATCCGAATCAAAATCGGACATTTTTGGACAGAATCCTACACTAGCATTCTCAATAAAAAAAATAATAATAATAGCAAGCTATAATAGTAAATGAAATTTTCAACCTTTTCATCATTATAGGAAAAAATGAAGTGTCTTTTGAATAAATTCAGTTATAAAAAAATAACACAGTCCTCACAAATTTTAGTTCCAAGCAAATGGTTATTGTTACCCCCCCCTCTCCCAATATATATATATATATATATATGTATGTATGTATAGGGAAAACTGTTCCAGCAAATAGTGACTGTCAATTTAGACCTTTTTGGCTCAAGACTGGCATGTAAAATGTACAATATCAGATAAAGCCATGTTGCATCTGATCCAGTGAACACAAGTACTCACAATATAGAAAGAGATCTGACTGTTAAAGTTACTAATAAAATATGAATAAACTAAAATAATTATACACACAAAACTAATATTTACAGTTAAGTATTACAGCAATCCTCAAACCAAACATGCACAAAAAAGCCAAAACTGAACAAATGTAAATGATAATGAAATGCATGGATACCTGCTTTCTCTGTCCCGTTCCCTTGGCTCTCTCTCTTTTTCTCTTTCTCTAAACTCCCGGTCCCGACTCTTCTCACGTTCTCTTTCTGGTCGACTCCTGCTTCTACTTGATCGCTCTATATCCCTGTCCCTGTCTCTCTCACATCCACGCTCTATCCTATCTCGTTCACGTTCCTTCTCTTTGTCTCTTCTCATTGTCCCTGTCCTTGACTCTATGTTCTCTGCAACTCCTGTGCCTATCCTTCTCACCATCTCTAGACCGTGACCTGTGACGAGATGAGCCTCGTTCCTTGCAAGATCATGCAGTGGTTCATCTCGTGATTTTGAGCGTTTGGAGTGACTATGATCATCATCACTATCACCGGCTCTCTCTCCTCTCTTGTGCTTGGAACTCCGATACGATTCCTCTCACAGATTTAACATTATCGACTCTGCCGTTACCATCTTCCTACTTCACCTTTTGATGCTCGGGATTTTCAACCGTCTTTTCTAAATACTTATATTCATCGAAATCCATATTTTTATCACTTATAATCTGCGATTAACAGAAAAAAAGGAATCTAAACACAGAATAAACACCGAACTGAAACATTAAAGAAGCTAATTAACTCCACTACTTTCAACTGATTAACCTAATATTCACTCTATTTAAAGTTAAAACCTAGTTTTATGATTAAGTAAACGCTAAATCAAGAAAAGCTTATCCAAAATTCAAATTCAAAGATTCACCTCCTTGTTCGTCGTAATTTCTCAGCAGCGGAAATAATTATTAGAGCTTAGGAAGCGAAATTTAAGAAATTTACCTTTTGAAACAAAGAAAAAAATTCAACGCGACCAATTAGAGATTTTATTTTCTTTTCCTTTTTTCCCCAAGAATCAGTGGAAATGCTGCCTGCTGTGTACCGCCAGGGCTCGCTATTGTATTCGGCTTCGAGTAATCATATTAACTCAAATTATCGGATCCACGAAAGAGCGGGTCAGTTTTCTTGATCCGAGTTTGATTATATTGGGCCAAGGCCCTTTCACAAAAGTTTGATTACATTGGGTCTAGGCCCTAATAAATCAAATGGGTATGTCCGTCACAATTTTGCTAAATTTTAATATCTCTAACCAGGGGACCTTTTTAAGCCAAATAATCCATGTGGGATTAAAAAGTTTGGAAATTCTCCACCACTAAAAATTTAAAGATTACATTAAGATTTATATATAATTTTAAATGAATTTATATCGATCCCTTATATTTTAATTTTAAAGCAAACTTTAAATTAAAAAAAGTCTTAATAATCCTATTAAATCTTTTTTTTTATAAACGTAATACCTCCAAAATTACATCTCTAAAATCCAACATTATTGAAACTGGAGCAATTATCCAAACCTAGCGGAAGTTGAGTTAAATGTACTTTTGGTTTTATTAAAATTGGACACATCAGTCGTGGGATCTTATCGTAAGGTTTGTAAGATTTAGTTTTCTGGTTTTAATAATGACATGCTACCCTCCGCACTATTCCTATTATCCTCTTCTACTATTCTGCATTTATGGAAGAAGGAGCAAGTTGGGTTTTATGTAGGACCCCAAATGAACTACTTCAATTAATTCCAAGATGTAGAGTTTTTTTAAAAGATTCATAGTAAATATATTATTAATGAAAAATATAATTTTATACATAATACTAAAAAGTATATATATTTATTAATAATTACCTTATATCACATATGAAAATGTATACCCATAAAATTATTCAACAAAGGGTAACAAAGTTGTTTATAAATTTATATTAATCTTATGTTTACTCTTCGAGACTTCAATTAAGTAGTGAATTTTAATTATTTTATATAATAAATATGGTATTCTTATCAGTATTATCAGATAAATTGCAAAAGATGTACACACCCTAAAACTCTCTAATACATATTTATATTCGTACGTATATAAAATCTTAAATATATACTATAATTATAATTCACTATCAAATTTTATTTTTTTTCCCGATTAAAGTTGTATCCAATCAAATATATTAGACCGTCGTCTTTTCATTTGCATTTAATTTCAATTTTATTTTATATGTTAGGTGAAGGGACAAATCTCCTTTTTCATTTTATCCGACTTTATCTTTATTTTATTTTATTTTTAATTTCCCACTCCATGCAATTCACGATACAATTATATGTATAATTCAACATATAATATAATAATAATAATCATAATTGTAGTATACCGTCTTTTGTAATAATGGACATTTAACATATTTGAGGAAGGTCTTTTCCGAAAGTGATGAATCATCAAATCCAGCTTTAGTTAGTCATACTATAACAATGGAATAGATTCAATGACAAATATATGTAAACAAGATGAGATAGATAATGAGTTATTTTAGTTTGATTCGATTAAAATTTGATAAATATTCGACTCAAATTTAAATTCGACTCGAGTTCTTAACGAACCGAAACGAGCTATTTAATACTCAACTCGTAAAGCTTGCAACTAACTTGAAAAAACAATATAATAAAATTTTATTTTCAAAAAATAAATTATTAATAATATTAATTTTTATGTATTAATTTTTTTAAAAAATATAATATAAAAATTTCATATACTTAAGGTTCATGTTCGAATTCGAGTTTGAGACTTCAATCGAGTTAAATTTAAGATTTTCTTATTTCATGTTTTTTCGAGTTCGAGTTAAACATAAAAATTTTAAGCTTATAAACATTCGAATCGAATCGAACTCAACAATACTTAACTTGATTTGGATGAGAGATATTTGCATTTTGACACGACGTCTTTAAATATATCGAGGGCCAAGCTTTCTTCAGTAAATCACTTAACTGCCAGCAAACTATCTAATTCGATGAAAATTTCTTCCATTTAGATGCATTCATCACCAGACAAGCATCAAGAATTGCCATTAGTTTTGCACCCGTCGAATCCAAAAGTCTAATTGATTTTGGAACTTTGTCATGAAAGGCTCTCGTAAAATACCCCCAATACTAGCTTCACCATAGCCAGCTCAAAGATTTGTTCCACATTCCACCTATTATTGCTCAAAGTTTTTGAGGGATGAGAATTCACAAACTTTTCCAACTTTCTGAATTGCTATTGCCACATGTTCTAGGAAAAGCCATTTTGAGGGATGAGAATTCAGTCCAATAATCATCTCAAAAATGGATTAGTTTACGACCTCCTAAAGTAAAATGAATGTTTTTAGTAAAGAAACCATTTGGATTCGATAGAGGTTTAGTGATGTTCTTCCATATCCACGATGCATTATTCTTTTGGTTATGACCAGGAAACAAATTGTCACCCCTTCCTTGGCTAGAGATTAGAAATACATTACCTTAACTAAAGAATCCGAAGTGAGGCTCCTTTTCTCAACAACACTTACCTCCTCATTCCTTCTTGCGCTTGGACTCTCTCTCCAAGCTTGTCACTTCTCAATGGAGATATGGAGCTTAAGGTGGAGCTCTAAAGATGCTGGGAAACACTTTCGTCTCTCTAAATCTCTGGTGGAAGCTCGCTCGAAAAATGTGGATCCTTTAAATTATGAGTTGAAGAAATAGAGAACAAAATGATGAATGAAAGAGAAGAAAAAACAAAGAGGACAAGAAAGAAAACGGTCACCAACTTTATGCCCCCAAAGCTCACGTCTAAAAATGTGATAAAATCTTAAGAAATCAAACTCGTTTTTATGAGTGGGATAATTACACCTTTGGTCCCTCCTATTTTGCCTTATATGTAAAAATTTCCTTTTTTTAAGACTAAATGGACTCAATTTACATCCAATCAAGCCCTCACTTGGCCCAACGACTTTAATTTCAACTCCACACAATCCACATACCTCTTGGATCAATCCGAAACAATTAACCTAGAATTTGGGGTTTTACACACCTTTATAGTCAATAATCATTCTCTCTCCGATTCTTCCAATCGAGCCAACATAACAGCTTCTGATGCACTGAATTCGACTCTAAGTTTTTCCCCAACTTTAGTAATTCATTCATTTTTTTTCTAGCAGTTCTCTCTTTCATCTTTACTAGGAAGACAGATAACCACCAATAGATCGTACCAGAGACATACTATGGCATTAATACCATCTGATACTAAACCTTCCTGAAATACATCCAGATTATTCATCCTTTTTACTTGTCCTGCTAAACAATACCTTCTCCACTCCATTTCATCCTTAGGAATTGGGATGAGTTTTACAGGGACCTCACTTGAGATTACCCTCTTTGATGTGGAACTATTCTCAACCCTGACCAATGTTACATTCTCAGCATTGTGTTGCATGGTCCTAGTCACATCTTGAAAAACCATTGCATGAGCCACTTCAACAGATTGGCCACAACCCATAAGAGCTTCCAAGCAAGATCTGGAATCTTTTAGAGGCAAAGAACGGTTATTAAAGTTTACTGTCAATTTCCTACCCAAAGCTTCAAATCTAGGCTTTTGATTTGTGATGAATACCCTTATGCAGAACCCGTCCATTAGTCTGCCATTGCCCTTTGCTCTACCACATCTTGCTTCCTCTTCATTACTAAACCTCACAAAAGCAATGAAGACATCTACTACAATTCCATACATCTGGAAAGCTTTCCATAAAGATGACTGGTGAATCCTCTTGCTGACGTTATCCACAAAGACCGAAAATCCTAGCCGACGACGAAGGCCAACGTTTTTGGTTGACACCAACTTACCTTTGTTAATAATAAAATCGAACAAACGATGAAAAAGCTTATAACTTTATGATTTGATATATATATATATATGTTAATAATTTATTTGTATACATCCTAAAACATTATTTTATTTGTGTTTTAAACTTTTGATTGTTTTCTCATATCATATTCGTATAGTACTTCGATCAAGTGCAATGAATGTACATAACGAACATGGGTTTTATCTTCTCCAACAAGAATGGTGCTGAATACATTTCATCTGTCCTTTCATTTAAACCTCTCACAGTTCCTCACACAGAAAAGTTCAATACTTTCTTTGAACACTTGACGTGCTCTTCACCCTATCTACTGTCTACATATGGATACCGGCAGTGTTATTCTTCTAGGGTGGTCCTCTATGTCCTTGCTTTGCATTTTTCCCATATTGGGTCAAATATTCAAATCCATTAAGATTACACATGTTTGTATCAATTGTAGAATCAAAGTGTTCAAAAATATATTAAACGTGAATTTCAAGTCAAATGAATTCGATACACGAGTTTGTAGTAATTTTTTTTTGGGATGTTTACCTATAATTGTATTACAAATTCTTGAATTTTTGTTTAAATTCTTTAAGATGTTATAATTAAATTGTGTGGGTATTGTTATCTTATCAATCAAGTCCTTCAATTAATTGAATTATCATATTATATATTGAATTCTAGTTTGGGTATGACGTGGATCATATTTGACAAAATAATGTTGATCATATGCAAAACATATGTATGGACAACTTTAATCCAATATATTAAAGAAAATATCAATACACGATATTTGAGTTGTTTGTGTAATGGATATACATTTGTTTAAAATTTAATTAATATGTTTTAAACATGCATGTACCCAAAAAAATATGTTTTAAACATGTTATATGACTTTCCTCTTTTTTTTTACTTAGAATTTATACTATTTTTTATAAATCGGATTATTTTTTTCTTTTTTGATTTTGTTTAGTCGGTGATCGTATCGGTTTTGTTGCTCGTTGTTGACCGTAGATTCTCTTCTCTTCTTTTTCTTTTTTAATTTTTTAATAAGAATAATTATGTTTTTGTAACACATTTTTCGTCTTCTTTCTTGGTCTTTTGGCTATTCTTTTTATTTTATGTTTTTTCATAATTATATTTGATGACGTTTGTAACACCCCCAACCTGTATCCGACCCGGATCCGAGTCCGAGATATCACATTGACTTTTCAAAACTTTTGCTTGTACAAAATTAGTGAATAATTTAAAACTTTTATAACATATAACTTATTCAAAACGTTTACAAAACTATTCAGAGCTTATACAATATATTATTTTGAATACATGCCAACTAAAACTTTAGTTGTTAACATACATATTATTCATCTTTCTTCTGATATGACCTTCGGTAAGGAGAACTGACATGTCTTGCTCCACATTGCTCTTTACTCTTCTCACTTCTGTAACTTACGTGTGAAACAATCACACGCTAAGTCTATGACTTAGTGAGGCAATAAACATATAATGTAAACATTTACTAGTAATCATATATAAACAATTATTACCATCATCTCACACATAACATTTCATAAAAAAACAAACATATCATCTTATCCAGTTTATTAATATTATCTCTTTATTAGCCCATGGTACACATGTGAGAACTGTAGATACGTGAATCTATTGAGGTTGTGCACCACTATGCTGTCACCACAGCTCGTATAAATGTCCCGAAGGACCTATCCAGATGTCACAAATACCCCGACAACTATCCAGAGGTCATAAAGAACCTCGGCAACTGTCTATAGATCCCGAAGAACCTAGGTAAACTGTCCATATGTCTCGAAAGACATAGGTAAACCCTCGACTCTTGGCATGCCAACTATACCCCTAGCTCTCATATCACATAACATGGGCATTATCATTTATAACATTTCATATCACTTGTTATTTCTCTTCTATCACATACCACATGTATATGTAACCATATATCTCATATCATATCACATGTATCACAAGTGCATGTATTCACGTAGATTGTTTCATATGACTTATACTATTTCTCATTTGTTCATGTAACTCGCATGTCATATCATGTAACATATAACACATAATCATATAGGCTTACGGTTTTATCACCTATCATGTTATTTCACATATACACTTTTATATCACATAAACTCATATATATCATGTCACATATAATAACATATGACACATATACCCATAACTTCATATCACATACTTATATCAATTCACACTTAGTCACATGGGTTATTTCTCATAACATATATCACATCACATATGTTCATGGGTATATCCCATAGCATATACAATAACATATAAACATATGTATTCATGTGTATACTTTCATCTAGCCTATATATCAACGTCACATAACTTATCTCATAACTTATTTGATATTCCTATATATTCTCATCTTATAACTTATATTACCTATGCATATAACTTTATGACTTATTATCAAGTACTTAATTAATGTTCCTATATGGTTCCATCTTTATCATATAACCTATGAGCTATTCTTATATTACCCTATATCAACCATACTTTGTTTATCTCACTTTTCATATCATTCATTTATCACATATATGTCACTTTGCTTATAACACTTCACTAGTTTTCATATGACATGTAAATCATTGTCATCTCTTGTTCTCATATAATTCCATATAGTCACTTATCACTTATCACATAGTTTACATCCTATGATCATATAATCATATCAATAACACATATAAATCATAACAAACACATACCTCTATAAATTCATGCATTTTATTATTGGAAATAGACTTATCATAAGTCTTATTTTCCATTTAACATCATATACTAAATAATGTGCACTCACATTGGTCTCACTAAGTTTCAATCCACTTTATGATTTCCTCTCTTTCGATCGAATCTTAACTTGATACACAACCCGGAACTTGTTCGTGTTCGATATCTACATAATTATACATTGATATATATCAGTATCTCATTGTTATAATATAATCTATCATTTCTTAGACCAGAAGAAATGTCTATTTCAATTTCCCCTTGAAGTGCATCGATGCATTCTTTAACATGTGCATCGATGCACTACCCATGCATCGATACACAAATTACCTTCGATGATTTCATTTTAAAGGGATGCATCGATGCACTCCTTATGCATCGATGCACCATTTGCATTCGATGTTTCTTCTTTAAAGAGTGCATCGATCAATGTGCATCGATACACCTTGCCCAGAATTTGCATTTTAAGCCCAAAAATCCATTTAATTCAACTCAAATGCTTCATATTTCATCCCCTTTCATATTCCTTACTTACATATACATATTTGCCCTCATTTCTACTCAATAATCACTTCTTTAACCTCCATATCCTATTCTCCTTAAGAAATTCAAGAATCATACCCAAATTTTAACATGTTACAAATCTAATTCTAATACTTCATACATGTTAATTAGATTGATGACAAGTCAAATTCACTCTAAAACCTCATTAAAGAACCCTCTTTCAAGATTTCACTTATTCATCTCTTTTCTTTAATCCCCTCTATTCTCTTCATCTTATTGTTTCAAGATAATTTAAGCTCTTCTTATGCTTAATTATCACCTAATAATCAAAACTCAACCTTAAATTTCAGCTAATAATCAACAAATAAAGAAACTCACCTTTACCTAGCTTGGGCTCGTTGGAGAAGAAGAAAGCAAGTGAAAAAGAAGAGATTTTTCATCTTCCTCTCCCCCCACATGTTAATCTCCTAATAAAGGGGAGAAAATATATTTCCTTATCAATTGACCATTTTACCCTTTACTTCATTTAATAATTACCAATAACTTTTATGATTTATTTCCAAATAAATCATTGAACTAATCCATGGTTCTACTTTAGTCACCAAATTCTGAAACTTTACAATTTGATCACTAACCCGATATTGAGGATGTTACAACGTCACGACTGATCAAGATGACGCTTATTTGTAATTAGGTCGATCTTTCTATTATGGACACCCAGATTAAATTTATATACGCGATTTTGTGTTCGTGGATAGTTTCTCACGACGCTTGGCTTTGATTTCCTATTCTCAGTGGTCTTCCAATAGCTTAATCTCGTTTTGTGGTTCGTTTGTTGATGCAATTATATTTGTTCATATCTATTTTTTGTTCGAGTGTTTTGGTTTGGTTTTTAACCTTTTCCATTTATGATCCTTACTAAAGTGATTAGTTTCAATATTATAAGAAAATGGTCAAATTATGTATTTAATTTACGATGATAGTTGTAAACTCATATTATAACTTTAGATATTTCCAATTATATATAAGTTTAATGCTAAATTTATTATATCCAATTACAAGTAAAATTAAAATTATAACATATTCGAAAAACTATAACCTAAATCAATTGTTATAATATATAATTAAAACATATTTGGAGAAATATTCACATATTGTAAGACTTAAATTAAGGTAAATATGAATTCAAAACTCGCATTAAATATTAATGCGTAATAAAATCCAAAACATAAACCTAAATTAAATGCTAGTTTCAATTCATTAATCCCAAAGTTGCGTAAAATACAAGTATTTTGTATTTCAACATTCTCCAATTCCTTTCTTTAATTTTAAAATTAAATGAAAAATTAGTAATATAAACATAATGGCTTTAGAGGAGTAAGATGGAAGTCTCACATTCTGAAAATTTTAATTTCTCATATAATTTATATATTATAATTACAATTTATTTAATGATATGATTTTAATTTTAATAAATTTTTATAACGTTATACTCTTAAATTTATAATTTTTTTTGAAATTTAACCCTTAACATATATATAATTAAATGGTAATAAAATTTTAATCAGATTCTATCATTAACTTATATGTCATGCGTAAATCGTAAAGAAAATAGATATTTTAAAAAGTTAAGATGATTTTTGAAATTTGAAAAATCGTTAAAAGAGCATTTAAAATTAATATATATTTTATATAGTCTTGATAAAAAGTTAACTAATATAGTAATTATTGAACTATATTTTAGTATAACAATTTATCACAAAATATTTTTTGGATTTGAATTGAATTTATTCAAAGTCTTCAAAAATAATTCAAAGTCCATTTAATTTGGAATTGAACATAAAATGTTTTTCTGGACAAGAAGTACTGGCACTGTTTTTACTGCATCGATACCTCATGAACAATATCAATACTGTTAATATGGTATCAATACAAAAGGTAAGGGAAGTATCGATACTACTAGCATTGCTCAAATTTCAGAATGTAAAAATGATACCTATACCTAGAGGGGTACCGATACTAATTTAGTAATATCATGAAATGTGATAGTGGATAATTGTTTATGTTTTGCTTACAAGTGCTTTTATGACGCTATTAGATAAGCTATGATTTAGACGCAACCAAAATTTATTAAATTAATTACCAATCAGTTTATTTGTTTCAAATCAAAATTAGAAAGATTAATAATTTGATTAGTTCCAAATCGTTGTCATCTTTATTAACAATAAGTGATTGATCAAAGAAGAAATAAATATAAAAAAAGAGTTTATTTGAGGAAGAAAATGATAGTGATTAAAATTTTCTAATCAAATACTTATTTAATAATATTATGAATCAAATTATTTTTAGATTTTTATAAAACATAATAATAAAATTATTTATTAATTATTGATTAAAAAGAGTATTCAAAGAGTAGTTAAACCACCAAAGTTATACAACTTTGTCATTTAATGACTTCAAGTGCGGTGGTCAAATCCGTAGACAAGCAAAAACTAGTTTTGGAGAAAGTTTAGTTTAGCGATAAATCAAGTAACCTGTAATAACGACCACCGCCCGAGGTACCGCAATTTCATACTACTATTGACGGAACTAACACGTGTAACAACTGAGTGGACCAAAGATGAAAACCACCTGTAGTAATTAGGTTCGTGGCAATTAAAACAGGCGCCACCTCTTACCCCTATTAGATTATCTTATTACAATTTTTTAGGATCGTTGGATTTTATTTATAAGTTAGTGCATTGATACAAGTAATAAGTATAAAGTACCTAAATGATTCATCAACTATACAACGTGATTTTATTAAATATATTGATTGTTAAAAGTTATAAAAAAAATTATTAATTATAAAATATTATTTTATTAAGTTTTCAATTATTAAATATTATAAAATAGTTATCTGACTATTTATATATTCAAAATTCATCATTTTTAGTTAAAAGATTAACGACCGTCTAAACTGAACGTTAACATATTATTTGAGATACAATAAAATCATAGACTCGATGATATAATCCCTTTGACCATAAGTTTTCGTTTGCTAACATCACTGTTGTTTTCAAGTACAAACTCGATGATATAATATTTCAAATACTAACTTGATAACAAAATGTAAACATAGACTTAATCTATAAAATACAACTCAAACAGTTCTAAGATGTCAGTGAGTATATTAAAGTTTAGCTCAAACGATCGTCAATATTCTAACGGAGAATAATAAAATTGGAAAATATGAATAGTCGAATAATTATTTTATAACTTTTAATAGTATAGAACTCAACAAAACAATATCTTATAGTTAATAAACCATTTTGTATATTTCAATAGTCAAAGACACAACAAAGTAACATCTTATAGTCGAGAAACTATTTATGTGCTTTTTGACCTAAAAAGTTTGATGTATGATTCTAAATTTTAAAAAGGTAAACTACACATTTAACACTTAAACTAATAATTTAGAAATTATAAACTATCATAATCAATTTTTTTTATTAATATGGTGTAAATACAAAATAATATATGTTCAAAAATAACTCTTAACGTCTCGACATTGAACGTTCACACCCTTAACATCTATGATGCTCAAACCCGATTCCTCGAAGAATAACAACACTTTTTTTTACCAATAAGCCACTTGATTTATGTTTATAGATGATATTATAATGTATGGAATAACAATAATCTAATTACACATTAGAATAATATATATTTTTTGATTAGTATATAATTTCTTTTTTTTTTTAAATTTAGTATATGAAAAATCTTAAAAGAAAAAACATTGTGAATATAATTTTTTTACTAATATAAAAAATGTGTAGAACTCAACAGATTGAGGTTATGTTGAAAATTTTAAATATTATTCTTAAAAATAGGCTAAACAAATCGAATGAACACGAATGTGAGTATGTTCATGTTCGTTTTTTAACTTTAACCGAACTAATGAACAACCATGAATATTAAACTAACAAAATTTATTGTTCGTGTTCGTTTGATAAAGAATATAACTTGTTCGTGTTCGTTCGTTGAAATGATAAACGAACACAAGCGAACGAACGTAAAAGAACATAAATAAATATAAACTTAATTAGTTTATATTTGAGAAGATATTTTCTATTTTCAAATAATTTTAGGGTTTATATTTTCTTTAATTGATTTGAATATTTTTATTTAGGTTTAAAATTAATTAATTTATAAAAAGTTAATATATTTAATGTTAAAATTTATGAAGTTTTAATATTTTAAACAAATCTAGAGATTAGACTTAATATAAATGAACAAATATAAACTAATGAATATAAATGAATATAAATAAATAAACATAAACAAACAAATATCAAACATTCACAAATATAAATAAATATACAAATATAATTATATAAATATAAAATCTTATTCATATTACTTTATTAATAAATAAATAAATTTCCACCGAATAATTTACAAATAATTCTCTTAACGTTTGATTCGTTTAAAGTCTACCTAACGCTGATATCATTGACTAATAAGATTATAAGCTCATGAAAGCTTCTCTTTCATTTTTTTAAAAAGTTCTTTTAGGAGGTTTTCTGTAGATTACCATAGGTGTGTGGAGCCCAAGACTGGACCTTTGCTTTGCTGGCTTCGAGCCTTCGAGCTCTCCATTGTTGGTCTTTTATGGGTCTTGTCTGCTGAGAGAAACAAGAGAGTCACCATTTCATCTTTCAATTATCTCATCACTCGTTGAAGCTTGAAACCAACCAAATCAAACACCAAATCCCAACTTTTTTTCCCTTTGATTAGATTGATCCATAGATCTGCTAATTCAAAGTTCCATACCCCGCATGAAGTTTCTTTTCTATTCCCAGATCTTCCTTTTCAAGTATACAACCCCAAGTGGTCTAATTTAAAGGTAAACCTTTCTCCTTTCGGTCTTTCCCCACCTGTTTTTATGTACTTGGTGTGGGAAATATAAGTTGAATTGTGAATGATTAATGGGTCTAAAGAGTTTTGTAAAACTGAGTTTTGTAAAACTGGGTTTTGTTTGAAGTTCTCAATGTGAAACATTAGACCTTCTGGATATCCTAATGGCTGACCCAACTACTTCGTTGGAAAAAAAAAGGAAGCGATCTTTGACCGATTCTCTTGTTTCCCAAAAAAACCTTTTGTGCTTTTGTTGATTTTTTTCCAGCAGGAGCTTGTACGGTCACGGTCTTTCCTGTTTTAAGAAGGATCAGTTTCTGTTGTTTGAGCTTAATATTATTAACTAAGACAAACTGAGAAAAAGTTAGCTTCTGGGACATCATTTGTTAATCTCTTGGTTTTTGCAGTTGCTGCAAATTGAACTATTGCAAACCTTTTTGGTGTGGTTTGTTTACTTGTTGTGCTGTTGCTGCAGTGTTCCTGTGTTGCGTTGAGAATTAAAGGAGGATATAGGGCTCACCCGCCAGATTTCTAGGGCCTGTTTTACATGAGTATTTGGTGGGTGTTGTGGATGAGATGAGGGATGTTATCTGGATTGATGAATTTTTTGAGGGCCTGTTTTCGACCGAGTTCAGTTCGATACGTTCACACAAGTTCTGAAGCGGGAGGTCGCCAAGATGGCCTTTTGTGGTACAAGGACTCGGGGCAGCACATCAATGGTGATTTCTCAATGGCAGTGGTTCAGGCCAACAATCTACTTGAGGACCAGAGCCAGCTGGAGTCTGGTTGTTTGAGTTCACACGAGTTGGGTCCCTATGGTACTTTTGTTGGTGTATATGATGGGCATGGCGGCCCAGAGACTTCACGATACATCAACGACCATCTCTTTCAACATCTAAAGCGTAAGCACAAAGCGTTTGCTAGTGTTAAAATCTTTTGTTGCCCTTTACTTACTGATTAATGAAGTAGGGAATATTCGTACCCAACAAAATGATTGAAGGTTATTGCGGTAAACTTGTTGCAGCCCTAGTTAAGGGTCTGTTCTGAATCAAAACCAATAAATATCTTTGTTATTTTTCCATGCTCACATTTGTACCGGTGATATTTGTTGTGTTCAGGATTCACTTCAGAGCAACAAGGGATGTCAGTTGATGTGATACGGAAAGCATATCAAGCAACAGAAGAGGGTTTTTTGTCCCTCGTTACCAAACAGTGGCCTATGAAACCGCAAATCGCAGCTGTTGGATCCTGCTGCCTGGTTGGTGTTATCTGTGGTGGAACTCTTTATGTCGCCAATCTTGGTGATTCCCGTGCTGTCTTGGGGAGAGCTGTGAAGGCGACGGGGGAGGTTCTAGCCATCCAGCTGTCGGCTGAGCATAATGTGTGTATAGAGTCCGTAAGGCAGGAGATGCAGTCACTGCACCCTGATGACTCGCAAATTGTAGTTTTGAAGCATAATGTATGGCGTGTAAAAGGTCTCATACAGGTACGTTCCACTATGCATACAATTTTTTAATTTTATTTTTTCAAGTAGTAGTAGTTTAATGGGTAAGATGAGTAGGTAATGTCCGCATTTGCTAAACAGCAATGCTTTTGCATAGCTGTGGTAAGTGGTTGGGGAATGAACCACTGGTTTGTGGCTTATATCACCTTCTTCCACAAGAACAACAATGTAAGAGAAGCAAGTACGACTTTCATCATCGCTGCAGTTGCATAGAGAGCTTGAATCGGCTTGTCCAAATTGAGCAGTCTAGTGCATGCTGTTTTTGGATGTTTGAAAAGTTGTTATTGCTAGCTTATTTTATCCTAAATTCTAAGAGAAGGGCATGAACCTTGGTATTTCATAAAGCTATGGAATTGGAAGAAGGAAAATTGTTGGACTTTATGTTGATCTCATGAGAGGAAGTGATTTAGTGATACGGCATATATCTTTATATTCCGAGTGGGGAATTAATAAGCTCGGTGGTGATCTTGGAGCTGGTTATTTTTGAACTTCAGGCTTTTGACTATGGCATCACATTAGCAGTTTGGTGACAGGATGTATCCCTGCTAGATATTAGGTACTCTTGATTTATACAGTTATGTGGTTTCCGGGTGGTATAAAGAGACTAAACTATAAATTCTGGTTTGCATCTTGACAAAATGAATCTCCCTTAAGGGAAGCATGGAGGATGCCGTTGTCGGCTTGAGATTGGAGAATAGTCTTCTACCATGGCCCACAAGTACTTATTTAAATGTACTTCTCGAGCTTTCTTCCTTCAAATTATAATCCACAGAAAACTGAATGTTTAAACAGGTTTCCGATGCTTGATCAAATCAAGCATATCAAGCATCAAATTGGTTGAGAAATCTCCAAGCAGATTGCATCGAATCAATACAGAATATTTATGCATATTATAAAGTTTCTGATAAAGCTATATGTACCTAGAATTAGAACTTGTCTCATGGATTTTATATATGAAAGATTCTGTTGCTGCCATGGGCAATTCCCCTTGATGTCGATTTTCTCGCAACAACTGCTTAGCCTTTCTTTTAAAAATCTTAAGCTTGACCAGAATGGCGCTCAACCTTTATTCGCTGATGATGCGTCTACTATAAGATTATTACATCCTGAATCGAAGAGAGTGCGTGAGGGAGAAGTATAGTACATTTCACAAATGTATGCAATAAGTCGAGCAGTTAAATATCGTAATGTCTTTTCTTTGGTATCCATGATTTGCTAGTTTTTTCAAATGTTTATTGATAGAAGCCTTGATCTTTCAGATTTCCAGGTCCATTGGTGATGTATATTTGAAAAAGGCTGAGTTCAACAGAGAGCCTTTATATCAAAAGTTCCGCCTTCGTGAACCTTTTAAAAAGCCAATATTGAGTGCAGACCCAGCAATATCAGTGCACCAGCTGCAACCACAAGATCAATTCGTGATATTTGCATCAGATGGTCTCTGGGAGCACCTAAGTAATCAAGAAGCTGTTGATATAGTTCAAAATCATACACGAAGTGTAAGTTTATACTTCAATTTTAGGTATTGTTTATCTTCTTACTTTTTTATCCTATTATTCAGAAAGTTCGATTCGGTTCGAGTATGAAGGCCTTTCTCCGTAGTCTTAACTCTCATTTGGTTAAATATTGATCATTTTATTGTAAACCGATCAGCTATGAATAATACTTGTGTAACAAATAGTGTTTTTTGCTCGTCTTCCTGCATGCGTACCAGTGGAAAAATGACATTTGCTCATGTATCATACGAATGCATGCTCATGCAGGGATGAGCGGCAATCTTAAAATAAGGGTGTACCAAAAGAACTGTGAATATATTAACCTATGGTTTCGGACTATGCAGGGAACTGCAAAGAGGCTGGTAAAAACTGCTCTACAAGAAGCAGCAAAGAAGAGAGAAATGAGATATTCCGACTTGAAGAAGATTGACCGTGGCGTCCGCCGGCATTTCCACGACGACATCACGGTAATTGTGGTGTTTCTTGACTCGAACCTCGTAAGCAGGGCTAGCTTGGTTAAGGGCCCGTATCTATCGGTTAGAGGGGGAGGAGTTAACTTCCCTCCCAGTATATTGGCTCCTTGTGCCACACCAACCGAAGCTGGTGGCACCTGATCATATATGCATAAATCTCATGTTTTCTCTTTGTTGTATCATTTTCTTTTGTGAATATCAGGTAGCTTCCGATAAGCAATAAACACGGGGCGAACCTTTGATTCTTTAATGTACACCGTAACTTTTAACTTGAAACTAATACCCGCATTTAGCTTCTTGTATGTCGAAAAACTCGAAAGAACTAGAGAAAGAGTACAATGTGACCATTGTTGTTTATTTCCTGGGATAGTTATCATAGTAATTTATATATAATAGTTCTTTTGTTTTTCTGTTACTGCAGTTCACTTTCTGTGTGAATCTCGCATGATACAGATATTCTACCTCCTTTTGTCCTACAGTCGTCGTGTTTTGCCAACTGTTCCGGTGGAAATGACATGTCTGCTCGAATAAGGCTTCCTAGGAGAACCTCCTCGAGATATCTACAAGAACAAAAGAAGCAATACTGCTAAACATGCAGATCATAAACACAATTCAGGACAATATAACATATACAGCCGATTTTTTACTGTCAAATGTTTTGAGTGCAAGTTTAGGGTAAGAGGTTAATTCAAGATTAACACTTACATGAATGAATTTATGGATAAACACAAATGATCATCTTTCACCTTTTTCATTGATGTGGAGCCAAAGCCTCACGTAATTCCCATTTAAAATAGATCTTTATATATTACGTATTATCAAATCACCCACTTAAAACCACCATTGGTGAAAAGCTTGAGCAATTAGCAATTTTATTCTGATTCATGGATGCAAGCACGAACAGAAACAAAGACCCCAACATAAGCTGTCATTCACCCACTTTTCTCTTACACAACAACGGCTTCAGTTCGATATCACAGCTTTCAGACATAGAGATGATCACCATAAAGTCGGTTTCTTACACGAGTTTGAAAGACTTGATGCCTTCGTCGTCGTCTTCGGCATCGCCTCCCTCGGTAGCGGCGATCGCTTCGCCGAAAGTACACAATTCAAGCTGGCATGAAATTCCCATCAAGAATCCGCTCGTTAAGCAGGCGGCTCTGGCTTATTTGCAGCCCGTGGGGAGTCCGCCGGTGGCCGGCGAAAAGGGGTTGTTCGAGAAGGTTAAGGAAAGGTGTTGCGGTGACTGCGGGTGCGTCTCGTGGCTGTACGATGTCGTTTGGAGGAAGGTCAAGGAGGCATTTTCTGACAGGAGAGATGATGATGTTGATGACTACTATGATGAAGACGATGATAAGGTTGACTGAAACTGAGATCTCGTGGGGGGGGGGGGGAGGTTGAGGGTTGACCGGTAGAATATAGGATAAATTTGTAAATAGAGATTCATCTTTTTGGGGTTCTTCATTTTAGTCCTTTATTTTTACTGTTTTATAAGGAAATTATTGAAAATTACAATGTTATTGTGAATTTCATTTTGTTATTTTAAAGAAAACTAAACTATTGAAATTATAACATAAATCAATAAGTTCAGTTATTAAGAACTTCGATTTGATCTCATTTTAAAATAGTTAAATTTTAATATACATATCAAATATTTGAAGTTTTGTGAATTTGATGTGATTAAAATAATGTATTTTTTATAACATAACAAGTAAAGAAAGTTGCTATTAGGCCAAATAAGAACTAACTTTGAAGGTTTCCATCTTTAGAAGAATATACATCTTGCAAGTGAACCTACGAAATATGAAATATTTAAGGGTGTAGAGTTGAAGAGGGTCCATGTGGGATATAATAAGTAGGTTAAGCTTTTGATTTGGTGATTTATTAACCTTAAGTTTGTCTCTGCTGTACCAAAGTGTTAAACGTCATACGTAGGAAAAGGAATGTTCACTGCAACTTCGAGGGAGCTTAGGTGTTTGTCTGTCAGAGAAATTCAGTTCCTTTAAAACATCTTTGTCTGTGTGTTTTTTTTTAAGATGAGAGTGACGTTAATGGATGAAGTCGGTGGAAGATATAAAATGATTTCCCCGCGTAATCAACACTGCTGCTTTAATTTATAGGAAAAGGTGTTTTTATAAATTAAAAAAAAAAGTTTCGACGACTTTCCAAGATTTTCAAAAGATAGATGCATTGTGATGGCACTATTAAATAATCAAGGATTAATAATTAAAAATATAACAATAATAAAATTGAGGATCAAATAAAAAATAATTAAAAATTAATAACCAAAACAAGGATAAGATGAAAGTTAAACTAATAAGAAATTGTGAAAGCAATGAAGTTGATGAGTCGAGGGAAGTGAAATGGAGTAATAATCTTCATTCCTCGGGAATGCTTTGAAGCTCAGGGCTCCAACAATGGCGGCTCTTCCTTATAAACGCATTGGACCTCAGAAGATGCTTCCTTCGCAACAGATTCAAGCGTTCTTCAACAGATACCGAAGACGGTGATGATTGGTAATGATTAAAATTTTCAGTAACACCGCCGCCATTGATCATTCCCAGCATTTTCTTCAAATCTTGCTTCCTGACCATAACTTTCACCCTCAAAACACCATCTTCGTTGACATGAGAAACAACGCCACCTCCACTGTAATTATTAGCCCTTGCAATGGCTTCTAATAACATGTGATTATTGCTTCTCATCAGAGCTTTCTGCTTTCGGTTTCTCGACTGTTTGAATTCTCTCTTGGGTGATGCCTTCCCTTCCATCTTCTTTCACTGTGGGTTATGTGGAGTGGACATTCAATTATGCCTATGGCCTTTATATAGGATCCGCCATGGAAACTACACAAATGAATGCAAGGTTGGCGGATTAATAACAATTAAAAGGAATAAAATTGTCTATCCTTGTTGGTAGAGCATCTGACGGAGAATGCATGTGCCATTCCATATCAAAAGTCAAATGACCCAATCATCTCAAACATACTCGTCTTGCACCAAAGGTTCAACCGACTATTTTACATGAAAAGAAGACGACGACGACGTTGTTGAGCTGGAACAGGCAACTCGTTTACGTGAAGGGAGAGGGACCTTAGACCTTGTATTAATAATGAATCACCAAAGTTTTAGACTTGGATTATATTCATAAAAGATAAGATATACTGTAGGCTACAGGAAACTGGTCAAATGATTGAGCTGTATATATAGCTGTGTTTGTGATCAATCATTCTCCAATATATATAATACAACTGAAATTAGATGATGATCACTAAAACCAATTATCATCATTTTTCTCTAAGTAACATTTCGATTGACTGGTCTTTCACAGGTTCTTCAGGTTCATTTTTCAAAATAATTAATTAAGAGATTAATAATTTATTAATAAAAAAAGAGATTAATAATTTAAATAAGAGGTTATATTATGCATTTGTGGAGTTAATTATAGTAGACACCTTAAATTATAGTTCATATTCAAAATTGATCTCCGTTCCTCAAATATTTAAATTAGAATAAATTAAATATTAAAAATAATTATAAAATAAAATTATTTAAATAATTAAAATATATAAATTATTTCAAGTATTTATGTCCAAGAAACCCTTTTTGTGTTATACCTATTTAAATTTACTAAAAATTGATATTTTCTTCGTATATATATTGATTTTAGTCTATATTGTTTTTCTTTTAGAGAGGAATGATAGTTGTAGGGTTTAGTTTTTATGATTGCAATGTTTTGGCGATTATCCCAATATATCACCGTTGAACAATATATTTCCCGATCAAGCACCGTTCAGACTATATTTCTCGATCTAACACCCTTTGCAGAAAGGCGCGGCCCCTGTAACGCGCTTTACGTTGATTTGGCGCAACGTGGGGTAAGGCGCGCCCCCTGCAGCGCGCCTTATGCTGACATGGTATACATGTATGTAAAGCGCGACCCCGGAGGCGTGCCTTAGGCCACCTAAGAGTATAGCGCAGGGAAGGGGCCCATACTGCGATTGTATAGTTGAAATCAACACAACAACAGTTATATGAGAGCTTGCTTTTACTATGGGATGATGGCTTGGCATATCACTTCAGAGTCCAAGTTTGGATGATCTTGGTTGACCCCTCCAGCACAACATGTGTGAGGACCGTTGTATACTGTTAGTTCTCGTCTGTTGTTTTTCCTCTTCCTCTTCGATACGCGAACCATCCAATTGCATCCGTTTTCGCGTCGGGCACAGTAGCATACATATTTTTCTATCGTGGAGCGGTCGACTCTCGATTGAACATAATTACAGATATTGTAATTTTTTATAGCCATCATCGTTTCTTTTTTGCTTGAAAACTCCATGCCTAAATATAACTCACCATTATTTATTAATGAGTAATATCCATAGTCACCGAGATGAGGCATATCCGCAAATTATGGCCCATACATTGCACCATAATCAGCTTCATATATGTGTGCTGGAGGGTCAGTTTGTGCCACATTTGTTGGAACTTCATCCACATCATCATCATCATCGGAGTTGAATTGCGGTGATTCTGGGTGAATGAATAGTCCAGTCTCAGCACCATCCGCACAAGGCTCACGAAGCGGTTCTTCTGGTGGAGATGATGGTTCCTCCATGCTCTCCACATTTAGGTCGAAGAACCTACTACTTGCACGCCGTCCCCTTGAACTGGAAGGCATATCGACATTCAGATCGAAAAAGCTTGTAGTCGAATGCCTCCCCCTGGAGCTTGAAGCCATTGTGTCAAATGTAAACTGCACATATTGTTGTGTCGATGTCATCTCCATATTAAGGTCAAAGGGATTTGCAGATGAATGCCTTCCCCTTGAACTGGACACGATATTTCCATAAGGATTGTTCGTCGACCCACCTCGGTACATATCGTAAAGAGTTGCGGATGAATGTCTCCCCATTATGGCATTAAAATCATTACACATTACTGTCGTCGGGCTGTCAACTTGTTCAGCCAGCCCATAGTGGGAGCTTAATGATTGACCCCGAACAGCACACACTTCAATAAAATTTGTATACATCTCAATATCGGCGTCTGAATAATTACTTTGAGCTTCAACCATCATTTCAACATCATCATTGTTCAAAAGTTCGAACGCTGTATAAGTTAATGACAACAATGATTTTGGAAATCTGTACTGCAACGACGACATTCTTCTAATACTTCCAACATGAATCTTCCTCGAAATCTTCGTTATCAGCTCCTCAAGAGTTATGTTTCTCTTCAATGATATTTTAAAATGTTCATTTGATACGAAAAAATGCCGGTTTCATCTTCTCGAATTTCTCCATCATAATAAACAGTAGCTGAAAGTCACGCCATTCTTTGAGTTTAAAAGTGCGACAATATTATATCTGCAAAAAAAACTAAAACAATGTTGATTAAATAAATAATATATGAACGAAAATATAAAATAATAAAATTTTTACACATAAACGTAAATAATTTAAATAATATAATTTTATATTATTATCTGTACCGCAAAACTATTTCGACGTATATTCCCGCTTTCTAATTTTATAAACACATAAATTAATTGACAACAATTAGTATAATATTTTTTCAAATAATCATAATAAACAATAAGTATAATAAAAAAAATTATCACAAAATTACCTTATAACGAAAACTCGCACGACCTTCTGAATTAAATATGAGAAGATTGTTGGATTGTTGTATTAATTTTTTTAATCGAGAGATGTGAGGAGTTACCCGGGGAAAGGGTAATTATAGCCGGGAAAAGCTACAAGACGCGGTACCTGCACCGCGCCTTACATAATTATATCAGATAAAGCTAAGGCGCAGCCCCTGTTCCGCATCTAATAATTGTGTTAAAGCTAAGGCACGGTCCCTGCCCTGTGCTATACTCCTAGGTGGCCTAAGGTGCGCCACCGGGGCCGCGCTTTACACACGTGTATACCATGTCAACATAAGGCGCGCTGCAGGGGGCGCGCCTTACCCCACGTGGCGCCAAATCAGCGTAAAGCGCGTTGCAGGGGACGCACTTTTCTGCAAAGGGTGTTAGATCAGGAAATATAGTCTAAACTGTGTCTGATCGAGAAATATATTGTTCAATAGTGATATATCGGGAAAATCGCCCAATGTTTTATTTTATTTTTTTATATTTTTACGAGAATCGTATATAAGCGAGTCAATGTACTGTCAAATTTGTTGGGAACTTCTCTGGTAAGAGGTCATTGCGATGGAGTGTTTTCCATAATATAAATTTCGAGATTTTATTGAGAGGATAATCATTTTCCATATATTTTAACTGATTATATAGAATTAGTTGTTCGAATGATACGATGATAATGAGATTAAAATATTTTTTTTATGTTTAATGCATAAGTTAC